TTACCAAAAGTTGTTTCAAGAAAATTACCAAAAATTGTTTCAAGAAGGTTACCAAAAGTTGTTCAAGAGGAAAAGGATTTTCAAAGGGTTTCCAAAAACTAACTTGTTTCCAAAATCAATTAGGAAACTAAGTAAAGCACTTGGATAACTCTTTGTACTCATTTGGACACTCTCTCTCCTACCTTTTTTAGGAAACTTTCTCAAACTCTCTCATCCATTTTTTTTTTGGAAACTTTCCTAAATTCTCTCATCCATTTTTTAGGAAACTTTCCTAAACTCTCTCATCCATTTCTTTTGGAAACTTTCCTAAAGTCTCCCATCTATTTTTAGGAAACTTTCCTAAATTCTCTCATACATTTTTAGGACCTTTCCTATATTCTCTCATCCATTTTAGGAAATTCTCCTATATTCTCTTCCTAAATTTTAGGAACACTCTCCTACACTTTCTTCTATATTTTCTCCTAATTTTTAGGAACACTTCCCTACACTTTCTCCTACATCTCCGTGATTACTCTTGAGGAAGAAGTTGGTGACAATTATTTGGGTTTGAGTAGCATTTCTCAAACTACCTAACCCAACAGGTAAAGGTGTTTGGTAAGTCCATTGGAGTGCTTTGAGTGACATACACGAGGGCGAGTGGATACACGTAAGGGAGCGTGAAAGGCAATATCTTCGGTTTCGTTGCTAACTTTTTGCAGGTTTCCTCATATGTCATGGCGAGTATAAGACGCATCAAAGTTAGCCCAAAACATTGTCTTCCTGATCCTAAGGGAGTCAAAGAAGTGGCATTACGTGGTGTAGATGAGCAATTGGATCTCGTCAAATCTCAGTTGCTTGGTTGGTTTTATACTCGTTGCGGTGTCAAAGATAAAATTTGTAGCTTGGCCATTGATGGTAGTTGTGAAGTCAATCTTGCAAGTGCTATCATGGTTGAGAAATTAAATCTTCCAACCATTGATCATCTTCAACCGTACAAGTTGACGAGCACTCATGGGGATGTTTGGGTTACTAAGCACACACTTGTACCTATCCAAATCGGTAAATATGTGGATGAGGTGTTGTGTGATGTAGTCCCAATTCAAGTGACACATGTGTTGTTGGGAAAAGCATGGATGTCGAGGCGAGAAGTTAAAATTGATGGACATACTAATAAGTATTCCTTCTTATTTAATAGTCGTCGTCTTGCACTTGTATCACTTACTTATGACCAACTTTGTATTGATCTAGCATGCATGAAAAGTGAGCTTGAGCGTTATAGAATGGAGAAAAAGCTAGATGAGGGAATTGTGCCTGCAGAGGTAAAACCCGAGGAAGTTGAAAGTAATGAGATAAAAGGGTCAGCTGTTGAACTAGAAAAAGAGATGGAAAAATCTAATGAGATGGGTGGTAAAAAGGAAGAAAGAAGAGAAAGTGGGCTGATCTTGAGCAACCCGGTGAAGGCCTATTATTTTCTTAACAAACTTACCTTTGCTTTGTTTAGTGTTTCTTCTTTTATACAGATCAAGCAAAGGCAAGTTGAGCTGATCTTGGTGTGTTCTATTCCAAAATCAATTGTAGACGTTGCAAGCCTCTATAGAGTTGGTACTCCAAGAGTTAAACCCCCTTGGTATCCATTCATGGAACAATGTCAACTCAAATCAGTCCACACCAAAGGGGAGTTGATTCGAGCTCATCTTGAAGGGAACACTCCATATTTTAGGGATGGTTGTGTACCAAGGGTTCGTTTAAAGAACAAGTACCTCAATGACCATTATGATTTTCGTCTTGCTCTTAGTCCACATGCAGCTCCAACATCACCAAATCCGCCTTGGTGCCTTGCAAGTGTGTTCGAGCCGGAGTTCGATTTCACGGGATACACTTCATACCACTTTGAGGACCCTTACCTCATGACCACAAACAATAAAGTTGAGCATACATTAAAGATGGTTTGTGAGATTCAAGGTTCGACGAGGGTTATTTTCCAACATAGCACATGGGCTTTGCATTGGATGCCATCTGTAGCCATCATAACAAGATTGAGTCGAAGGCATGTAACTCGTCTTGTCACCATTCGTGCTTCAATTTGTGGGCAAATTGCTTTTAAGAGGAGGGGAATGATGAGAATATAAAGATCAAGGCCCATTCAAGCACATGGGGAATTGGAAGATTCAAGTGAAGACTAGTTGATTGCACGAATACTTGAGTTTAGTAGGATTATTTGATTTTTCTCGTTGATTTTGGTTATTTCTCGTTTTAAAAAGTCTAGGTAATTAAGATAGTTTAATTGCGGCCCATTTGTTAGTAAGTAAGGCCCAAAATCTTTCTTAAGTATGTAGGGTAGTTTGGTCAACTTTTGGATTAGGGTTAATGCTTGTAAGGGCTATAAATAGCCCCACTTCCTCTTTGTTTGGGACCAGTTTTGGCTATTAAATACAATTAGTGAGTTTTCACTTTCTCTTTGGCAAGAGAGTTGTCTTTGAATACTTGAGAATCTTCTCAAGTTATTCACCTGAACTTATCAATCGAGTATCTCCTTGATTGTGGCGTTCTACTACCTCCAATTTGGTTCGTTAATTCGAGTAGTGACGGGTTGAGATAATATCAAAATTGTTCGTGACTTCTAGGGATTAGTTGGATCAAATTTCCGCTGCCTAAGCCATGGTGTTTTGGTTGTCTAGATCGGGGTTTCACATCACAAATTACTCGTACAATGATAATTATTTCATATTCATATGTCAACGTGTAACCCTAAACCATACATGCGGTATGTCGCGCCCCATTTTTTGGAAAAAATAAAAATAAAAGACGGGTTTAGAAAAAATGGCTTTTGATTGAAGTTTTGATTGAAAAATGAATTTTTGATTTAAAAAGAAAGTGAAAAAAAACTTGAATCAAAAGCCATTTTTTCTAAACCCGTATTTTATTTTTATTATTTCAAAAAAATGGGGCGCGACAGCTGGCGATTCCACTTGGGACTTTGAGAGTCCGAGCAAATTTGATTTAGTCAATCTTTTTCTTCTTTTAACCTTTTCATATATCACATTTGGATGTTTAGGGTTGTATTTTTCCTTTTTAGGATTTTTGCATTTCGCGCGTATCAACTCACTACCTCACACATTTGCGTACGATTGTTTGGATGGATGGATGGTTTATTTATGTGATCTCGCGCTTTGCATTGCATTTGGGTGGGAGAAATTTTACCCTAGAGTCTCGCGTTGGTTCTCGATCCCTCCCCTCCAAACGAAGCACTTCATACGTGCATACGTAGTTTTAGTCGCCCTATTTTTCTCTTTTTCGTGGGCGTTTCCCACACCTCCTTGTAGGATTAGGATCGATTGCCTTGGGTAGGCGAATGGTGTGCTCTGCGCCCATAGCGCTACCTAAGGGATCACTCGAGCCACCAATCGAAGGCCTTGGGAGTGATGACCCTTTGCCTTTAGGTCTGAAGGCTTGGGAGCCGAAGCCTTATTGAGTCTAGATGCATTAGTGAACCAAATCTCATGCATCCATATTAGAATTGCCTAGGGTAGAGTCGACCTTACCCTATTAAGGACACTAGGCACGAGGGGAGGGATCCTACCCCTCTTTCCTTATTTATTTTTGTTGCTTTTTATATCATCTAATTGTCCAATGTGTTATGTGATTATGTGTTGAACTGACGTTTCCTTGTCTCTTGTCTTTTGCATTCACAAACGTTAGGAAATAAGAGATCTGGCATGATCCTCTTTTAGGACCTACCCTTATAGATAGGCTATTGCACGTTTAGAAATTTCGGTATATTTCATTCGTAAGTTAATAATGGCATGTCATTTATAGGCCTACCCTGGCATACAAAGGGTCCCCTTAGGTAATATTTCATTTCAAAATTGCATGTTTTATTGCTTTAATAAACTGGCATCATGCATCCACCCTAGAAAGGGAATGCCATTTAGGGGATCCCGTGCTAGTAATAAACCGCCCTGTGTCTCGGATATATAATCCAATGAGGCTTACACGTTTACATTTTGTACCATCCGAAGGGGTAGTGCACAAGGTAAGGTAGGACCCGATCTTTTCGAAGACAGCAAAGCAATCTTTGCGCATTGGAATATGAGTATCTAACAATCATCTTTTGGCCATTTTTAACATAGTTGGTAAAAATCCCTTGCTTAAAGGACATTGATTTGAAGAAATTCACAAATGATTCCTCATTGTTGAGACGACAAATATATTGAGGCCAAATCTTGATTTTAGGGGGGCTCATAGACTAATGCATCGCAATGAATTTTTGAAAATTACCAATAGGTGGACAATTCAACCCATTTTTGAATAAATCATCAATTTCAATCAATTCATTTGACCAATTTACCCTTTTTAGGGTGATCTGGTCGATTTTTTGAATAAATCATCAATTTCATTCAATCTATTCGATCAAATGTGTCTATTTTTAGAGCAATCCAGCAAAGTTTATCAACTTCATTCGATCCATTTGACCAATTAGGATTTCTATGTCAAATCTAGAATTGGAACTAGTTGTTTTTAAGAAAATCACCCATTACATTCATTGCATTTGGATAGATTAGGGTTTCGACCCATGTTAAAAAATGTCCAATATGAAGTTCGTCAAAATTAAATTGATTTGTACGCATTCCGGTGCCAACTAAAACCATTCCTTCATTTAGAGGTTTCCTGCTGTTCAATTGGCCCAAAATTTTCAAATTGCTTTCCAACCAACTGTCAATGAGTTGATCGGATTTATCAGGTATGGTATAGTGCCTACCTCAGAGGATTGCATTCTCATGCTAGACCTACCCTTGGCACTAAAAGGGTCCCCTAATAGGACATGCATCCGAATTACTTTAATTTTTACTAACTCCTGTCTTTTTCTTTTCCTTTTTTCTTTCTTTTTGACAACAGTCAATCAAGAAGGGCATCTAATAAGGGTTTTCTTACACTCTCAGGTAGTAATCACAAATATTGCCACACAAAGAAGCCCCATTATTACCCGATCACATAGCCGAATTTCAAGAGAAAATGTAAACATGAGTACCCATCCAGAACCATCTGATAGGCCCGTAACAACATCATCAACTGATTTGGCGAATCTGGGAGCTCAGCTGAACGAAGTTCTCAACCGATTTAATGAGCTAAGCGTTGAAATGATGGCCCAACGGCGCGTGATCGACCAATTGGTCACTAGTGGTGCTAGCAGTGAGCAACAACATGAGCCTTTACCCCCTGGCCAATCTGAACCTCAACCAATACTCTTACCTTATACTCAAGCTCCTGTTATTTCACATGTCATAAATCCACCTGAAGAGGCCTTTACCTATCCCACTCATGGCCCACCACTTACTTATGCACCTAACATCCAAATTAACCCTTCTCATGCCCAAATTCCCCAAAGTTATCCGTCAATTGCTATGAGCATGCCATTCGAACCTCAGGGACCCCATTATTACTCCACCGCTAAGCCATTCACCATAGATACCGTTGCCCAAGGAAAAGCTGAAGTTGGGGAATCATCCGCGCCAGTGGATAAAAACTTGCTAAAGAGATTGGAGCGGTTTGAAGAGTTCATAAGGAAAAACCAAGGTTCGAACAAGCAAGGAGGTTTGGACTACAACGAGCTGTGCCTGTTTCCGAATATGCAATTACCAATGGGTTTCAAAGCACCCAAATTTAGCAAGTACGATGGAACTGGCAATCCCAAAACACACCTTTGGATGTTTGCAAACAAGCTAGGGAAGCCGATAGATGATGAGAATCTACCTATGCGCTTATTTTCCGAGAGTCTAGAAGGCGACATGTTGGATTGGTATTCCAATTTGAAGCCTGAGGATATGAGATCTTGGATGGGTTTGTCAACTGCTTTTATGAGGCAGTACGAATACAATTGCGAGCTGGCTCCCACGAGGACCACATTGGAGGGAACCAAGAGGAAACCATCCGAGGACCACAAGACATATGCAAAAAGATGGAGGAAATTGGCCGCCAAGGTGGAGTCTCCTATGATTGAAGATGAGATTGTTCGTACGTTCATCAAAGCTCATGACCCGCCCTACTTTGAGGAGATTTTTCGCATGACCGGGTGTTCATTTGCAGCAATTATCAATAAGTTGGAGGAGTATGACGAATATGTCAAAGCAGGAAAAATTGTCAATGTATCAGCTTTAAAATCACAGTTGGACGCCTTGCAAGGTCAGAGTAATAACAAAAGGGAGCCTCAACTTCAGAAGAAAGAGGAGGAAACTACTTTTGTGTGGGGCCAAGGACCGTTTTCAAGACCCAGATCTCAACGTTACCATACATATTCATCTCGCTACCCAAACCCACGCCCTGTTTACCATACTACTATCAATCATCCTCGACCTCGGCAAAACTGTGCAAGCCCACCTACAATACCCTTCCCAATGTCTCACAACAATCCTCAAATTCAACCTTGTCTACCTTATAATCCCAGACCTACTCCACCAAACCAACAGGCTTACAACCCTTCTCAAACCAATAAAATACAAAAACCTGGTCGATCTCGAACTTTTACCAACTTAGGCCGACCCATTGACCAACTATACGAACAGCTCAAGGCCGCCGGTGAAATTGATGACATACCTCCTCCAAACTACTCTCGTCGAGGTCTCTCTTCTAGGTACGACCCTCAAGCCGCATGTGCCCACCATTTTGGAGCGCCCGGTCACTCGACCAGTAACTGTTGGGTACTAAAACATCAGATCCAGGACATGATCGAAGCAGGAGATATAGTGTTAAGGAAAAGGGAAGAACAAGGACCGAACATAAGTATGAATCCTTTTTCTGAACACAAGGACACCTTTGAGGCATTTACCCCCAATGAAGAAATTTGAAAATCCTGGAAATGGCTGAATTAGTGAGGTTCCTCTTGAAGGGAAGTTTCAATAAATTTGGGGAGTTGTTTTGGTTAAAACCAATGAAAATCGTTCATACATATGTCTTTTGTTTAAACATGTTTTTTGTAAATAGTTTTCAATCAAGTGACTGCTAAAGACATGTTTCATGATATTAAGTTTGGTTTTTGTCTGGAAAGTCAATAAAATGTACAGTTTTATATATATTGTGACTTATACATTCTTTTCAGATGGCCCAAAATAAAACCATCTGACCCTTTGGATATCACTGTTCAGAAATTTGATGGCAGCGATCTCACGAATGTGAATTTGAATTTCAAAATGAGAGGAGTGGGGAAGAGGCATCCGAAAATGTTTCAAAGAAGCCCGAATGGAATAAAAGAAGTTCAAGCCGAATCGGGATCAAGATTAGGAATAAGAAGCAGTTGAACACAGTCCATCGTGGTTAATATGATCAAAAGGATTGGTCCGTGATTACCATTAAAGGGTCAAATCATGACCATTCAGACGAGAAGGCAAAGCATTAAGGTGATTTTCGTCACTACAAAATGAAGCCAAAAGGAGAGTTTGCCGCGAATTGGTAAGGTGCTCTTATTATCAAAAAGGTATCGCCTGGTGGAGCACTTGTTCCCTCAATCAATCAATTCGGAGATGTGTAAGAAATTTTCATCTGATAAATGAAAGTTTTCTTTTAGAGTTAATGCGAAGAATGGAATGAAAGTCAGGCCCTCTTCTTTTCCCATTAAGACATTATATCTCTAGTTATCCCTTTTGAGCCTTCAGAATAGATCATTTCGTTTGGCAACCTCTGAGAATCGCAAACCCCACACTGGGGTAAATTCAATTTTTTAAGGAAAGTCGAAAGAAAAGGAAATGAACAAAAGAAAGCCTCAATTAAAAAATAAACTGGGGCAAATTTTCAAAATTTTGAAAGATGAATGAAAAAAAAGGGGAGAAAGTCTGATGACGGCTGGGGGGTTTGGCAGAAGGAGAGGAAACGGAACGAGAGAGAGTGTTCTGTGACAGCGGAAAAGGAAAACAACGGAGGAAAAGCGGTCTGGGGAAAAGGAGAGAAACCGAGAGAGTTAGGAGAAAGGATCGGGTAGAGAAACAGAAGCAAGTGAGGAAGCTCGGCTGGAAAAAGAAACTAGAGAAAGAGGGACTGAGTGAGAACTTCAAAGGCTACTGAGGGGGGAGTAGCGAGAAAGCTAAGGAAAAGTCTGGGGGGAAGTAGTGAAACCAGACGAAGAAGAGAAGAAATTCAGAGGCCAGAATTTCAAACCCGCGTTTCTTCACCGAAGTCTGTAAAAATTCATCCTTTTCGATCCCTGTTGGGGCATATTCAATCTCTTACGGGTTCTTGCTGCAGATTCAAGTCCTAGAGCAATTGAAATAGGTAATTTTCAATCTTTTCTCGGTTCGCTTTAAGATTTGGGCTGTAAAGTCAGTTTTGTACATCCGACCAAGCTGCCTGTTTCTTGTTTGTTGTTTTGTTGTTGATGGAACTATCATGGCTATGATTCTTTGGTCTGGGAATGTCCGGTCAGAAGTTTTTTTTTTTGAAAAATGGAGTCTTGCTCAAATCTGTTCATGAAATCTAAGGGCTTTGCTTGTTCTCTTGTCTGCTTGTTGTGCCTTTATGATGGCCTGGCATGGTATTTTTCCTTTTTTCACGGTGATCTGGCTGCTAGCATTTGGCTTGGGGTTGAAACATTTGGAGCTCATTTGAGCCGTGTAAGCTCAGAATCTTTAAACCCGCATGATTACCAGTAGGGAAAGGGAAAGTGAATCTTGTTTTTGGCGATCATTTTCTTGTTCATTTTATGGTTTGGAATCTGATACCTTTAAGAGCTGGAATTTGAATTTTCAACCAGTATTCATGGCTGTTTTCCTGCGTCTTCTTGAAGCCGAAGACAAAGTGCTGCAGGAAGGAAAAAATTTCCAGCTTTGCATGTGTTTTTCTGTTAAATACTTAAACCCATGGCATGTTTGGCATCTTGTTTATCTTAGGGTCTGAGCTTAAGCATGTTTTCTTGAACGTTTGGTTGGCAATTTCAAACCAAAGTTAAAGTTTGTTTGCTGCACTACGTTTTTATAGCTCACAAAGTTAACAGCTTCTAAAGCCGTCGCATAACAGCCCATTTGCATGATAGCTCCCGTTAGCTTTGCATTCGGTGTGTGATTTTGTATGCATGATGGAGTATTTGGGATTATAATATGGGGTAGGAATTTGAGGTTGGGTTTAGCTTTGAAATGTTTATCGACGTTTGAGTGCATAAAAGAACTGCTGCAACAAGTTTAAAGATCTCGGTTTGTTACAGCAGCATGAACAAAGGGATTCTGTTTCCTTCTCTGGTTTGTTCAAGCATGGGTTTGTTTGAAGCTTTGCGTTTTTTTTAGGCTTTTGGTTGGTATGTTGTGTGCATGTTCACTGCGAGTTTATCTTTTCGTGCCTTTACTGTCTTCTTACATTTCTTTGCATCGTAGAGCTGCTGATGCTTGTGCTGTCTTTTTGATGCATTAAACCTCTTGCATTTCTTGCAGCATTTCTCCCTTTTTTTTTATGTTGGCCAACTCAAATGCTTTGCTACAATTCTGCAATAAGAATTCGTGTCTCATTTAGTCGGTAGTTGATAGGTGAAGTCTTGATATTAGATGAATTCATTTGCATGTTGAAATGGAAAGAAAGTCACGGCTTGCATGTTGCAGAAGAATAGCTCCAGTTACAGAATGTCTTCCTTCGTAGCTTTGCATGCTTTTGCATGGAAAATGTTCCAAAAAGTTGCATGCCAATCCCTCAAAGTCTCTCCTTGTCCTACTATGGCCCAATTATGTTTTAATTCCTTGCAATCAGGTCCTAGAATAATTGCAATTTCAATCGTTACTTGACCCTTTCTTTGCTCTTGGACCCCTGAAGTTCCCAAAATGTGTTAATTGGGTTTGGATGATTTGTTAATATTTGCAATTGGGTCCTTGGTAGTTTTTCCATTTTAGAAATTTGATCAATAATTTACTTTTCTTGGAAATTATGCATTATTTGATTTCATTTAAGTCGCAATTGGGGGAGGATTTGGTGGTTTTGTTTATACTTTACTATTTAATTGGTGCCTTGACCCTTTTATTGTTTTGAAGCTAATATTTCCTTCATTTCATTACCATTGCAAGTGAGGTAACCTCTATCCTCTTGATTTTATTTCTCCTACGTGCTCCTAAGTGCTATGTGTGAATATGCATGCTTTAATTCGCCTTTTTAATGATTAATTGCATGTTTCACTTTCTTTTTATTTAGCCTTCTTTAATTGGCAAGTCATTCGAGGGCATTTGGACCCCAATTTGTAATAGTTAGGTTTTGGCGTCTCTCTTGAAGATATGTCTTAGCTAGTCAATGCAATAGTTAGGATTTACTTTTATAAGTCCTTTTCCCCCTTTTAGATTGTAGAAGGGTTCCCCGAATGTAATAGTTAGGGCTTTATTTGCTTTATTTGCCTTGTGTGTTTTTGCATGCCTATGTGTTATGTGTTACTCGCTTTCCTAGGATCTTGCATCTAGACACCATGCTTATGTGTTATGTGCTATATGTGATTTATATGTTTATTTGCTTTATTAAGCTTTACATGATTTATTTGATTGTAATAAATGTGTGACGTCACCACACTAGTCCAACGCTAGTTGTGGCCCTTCATTCCGTTTTTCCACTAGTCCAATGCTAGTAGGAATTCATAGATATGGGCTAGTCCAACGCTAGATCCTTAGGGATCTAACGCCCCTGACCAATATTGTCCCACAGTTAACCACCCCATTGGGCCGTGGGTTTTGTTCCTGGAGGTGGGGTTATACCCACAACAAGTGAAGAGCCCAAGCCCGCAGGTCAAGAAGCCCGCAGATCAAGAAGCCCAGCACCCCTCCAAAAGGCTTCGGTCAGGTGGGAGAGACCACTACAGGCTATTAAAGCAGCCCCAGGACTTCCTCCCTAGCCGATGTGAGATCATTACAATCCACCCCCCTTAGGGAACCCAGCGTTCTCGCTGGCACACCGGGGTAGGGAGTCGACTCTGATACCAACTCTAATGCCCCTGACCAATATTGTCCCACAGTTAACCACCCCAATGGGCTGTGGGTTTTGTTCCTGGAGGTGGGGTTATACCCACAACAAGTGAAGAGCCCAAGCCCGCAGGTCAAGAAGCTCAGCACCCCTCCAAAAGGTCTCGGTCAAGTGGGAGAGACCACTACAGGCTATTAAAGCAGCCCCAGGACTTCCTCCCTAGCCGATGTGGGATCATTACAATCCACCCCCCTTAGGGAACCCAGCGTCCTCGCTGGCACACCGGGGTCGGGAGTCGGCTCTGATACCACCTCTAACGCTCCTGACCAATATTGTCCCACAGTTAACCACCCCATTGGGCCGTGGGTTTTGTTCCTGGAGGTGGGGTTATACCCACAACAAGTGAAGAGCCCAAACCCGCAGGCCAAGAAGCCCAGCACCCCTCCAAAAGGCCTCGGTCAGGTGGGAGAGACCACTACAGGCTATTAAAGCAGCCCCAGGACTTCCTCCCTAGCCGATGTGGGATCATTACAAGGGACCTCCTACGCTAGATCATGTTTGTGTGAATCACTACATTTCATGCATGTTTTTCACCTTTTAGGGTTTTTACCATATTGCATGACACTTTCTTATGTACATCCTTTATCCCATATCCCTCCTTATACGTATATCCCTTTCCCTGTATTTTCCCTTATATGTATATTACTTACCCCTTTGTATGAAACATGACATTAGACTTGCATTTCATCTAAGCATTAGACCTAGGCTAGTACATTTGCTTGATTAGATTAGGAAAAATCCCTTGGATATGGGATATGGACGAGTTTGGCTTCTCTAGCCTTAGCACGCTCATATTCCCTCTATTAAAGGGAACATTGAAAGCCAACGAACATTAGTCCCTCGTACTCAACATGATGCATTCCTTTCGGTCATACACATTTGTATATTATTATTTTCTTTACTTTTTCTTTCTTTCGAGTTTCATGACTTGCATTATTCGTGACTTTTTCGAAGAGTCTTTATTGGGCGTCACAATTAATGTGATTGGTACCAAGTAAGATTTGAAGATACATTTCGACCCTTCAATACCCTCCTAAGTCTAGGGTTTGCATTCATATAGAACATCCAAATGTGATAAATCATTAGGTTAAAATCAGAAAACCTTTGACTAAATCGCGCAACTAGCCTTGGCTAGATTGAAAGGGTGCCTTGGATTCTTATCCTTGCCTTCCCTTTCTTCAAATGTGACTCCCAAATCTTTTTCTCTGATTTTCGTAGATTTGGAGTCGTTTAAAAAGGGTTTTTCTACGTTTTTTTCCTTTTCATTTTTAGGTGGTTTGGTACACCTTAACTCTATACCAAGTGGCGACTCCATTTTTCATTCAAAAACCCTTTTTAAACTATATT